GTACACTTGTAACGTAAAGTTGCCTCTACCATTCACAAATTTGTCGTTTGAAAGATAAACTACTTTATTGAGAGAGGTAATCGATCGGTTAACTAATTTATAAACTAAACTGATGTAGCTAGTTTTGAAAAGAATGGTGTAATTATAGTTTGGTTATTTTGAAAAATATGGATGGTCTTACTCTTTTCAACGGCATGAAATTTAAAGTTTTCACCCCTCAAATTTATAACGATTTCATATTTGGTCCCTCATATTTTAAAAAACATATTTGGTCCCTCATATTTAAATTATTTGACAATTTTGGTCATTTTCGTCAATTTACCCTTAGTCTGTCAGTTATGGTAGTGGTGGGCACACGTTAAATTCTGTTAGTTTTCACAAAATTGACGGAAATGACTAAAAATGTTGAATTTTTAAAACATGAGGAATCAAGTTTTTTTTGTTAACATGGGGACCAAATGTGAATCAGTTCAAACTTGTGGGATAAAAAATATATTTTTCACTTTCAACGGCACTTGGGAGGTTGTTGGGTAGTATAAACAATATTGTAAGGGCCCTTTTGCTTTGAAGGAAAGAGGGAGATTGATCGATTAGTCCCTCCTAATCACATCTTAGGTTTCTATGACTTCGGCCCGCTACAGATAAGAGGCCCGCGATATAATCCTAGAATTCCATGACAATTCCATCACACCTCCACATCCAAGATTAACCAATCCCCCGTTTCTTGTTTAATTCGGTCCATAGTAAATTCCGAAATTGTCCTCATCAATTACTTGGAATTACAATAAAAATAAGGTATAAATAAAATTTATCTCCCCCAGTTTAATCGTTCTGCCCTAATCGACGACGAACAGAGACTTCGTCATCCTTTTCTCTGTCATTTTCTCCTTCGTCTCTTATTAACTGAATTTCTTTTCTTTCGATCTTATGTCTACTTTCGATCTATTCGTATTTTGTGCAATTATTGTGGCTTAGCACTGAGAGTTTGGATTGTTCATAATTTTTATCTGCATATTTTTTCATTTCATCTTCTTTACAATTCTTCTTTTTATTATTTTTTCATTTCAATTCTTGTACACGCAGTAATTGAAGAGCACCCACAAGAACTGTATGGCGAATCTCTCTTTCTCCGACCAAGGTTGTTATCTCTATCACTCATTTCTCTCGTTCTTGTGAAAAATCCCTAATTTGGATTTTTGTTTCAAAACCCTAATGTGGGTGTCTATATTTGTAAAATATGACTGTCATCTTAGGAGTCCATAGGGGGCTGCAATATAAGATTGACTCGCGCGCATCAGAGATTTCTCAGATAAAGTTATTTTTTATTTATTTTTTCTTTTTCTGCCTCTTTCCACTTGAATGGTGATTTTTTTGGTAATGCAATTGAGTTCCGTCACAGGCAAGTATCCATCTAATTTATTATTTCCTAAAAAAATGACAATTCTTTCCAATTCAGTTGTACCTTGGTATACAGGCTTAAAGATTTAAATTTTTTCTTGCTACTTATTATAAATTTTAATTTGTTGTTAGATGCCTTAACTTCATAAATACTAATTCTGCAAAATCATGTTGTTTGGGATCAGTGATGAGTTATGCAAAGTTTTCCGTATTTACAATTCAAAGGGAGTATAAGTCTAAATAAAGTTATAGGTATAAGTAAAGAAGAAATAGAGTGAAAAGAAGGGGAATAAAGTAATAGATATTATTTCATATTTCTTCAATGTACAGCCTTTATGCATGTTTGCAGATCCATTCTTAATGTCGAGATCTTTGTTGTGGTAAATTAAATTTGTACATGTTTTCTAGATTTTTACGTATAATTAATACCCATCTTTTACGTAGGACTTTGATCGTACTCGTAATTTTTAGCATCTCAACTATTTTCCGTTTGCAGTTTCAGGGGTCTAAAGTAAATGGGGCTCCCATGATAAGCATACTGACTGAATTACTAGCATCATCAATTCGACTAGAATCTAGTATTTTTTCACGTTATTAATTTTTGGTTTCGGATTTTAGGATAGCCAATTGTATTGAATTGGATAAATTCAATATGATAAGTACGTTAATTTTAATTATCTCTGTAGAATCTAATATGATTTTCAGTTTATTTTTTTTATAAGAAAATCATTGTATTTTCGTCAATTTAAGATTGTGTTGAAGAATGCCATTTAATATTTCTCAGCAAAAAGTTATAAAAGCAATAGCATATTCAACGTGCTACAAATAAAATTTAACAAGTTTTCGAGGGTAATTTTGTAACTTCATGCACCAATCCAACATTTTCCAACATTGTCTTGCAAACCTAAGATGACATTGAAATTAGATTACACTTAATCCGAATGTGTTAGTCCATCATACATAAGATGAAATTGAATCCAAAACCACCAATCCCAACAGTGCAATCCTGGGGGCTAATCCAATCACATCCAAACCCATCTTGAAAAGCAAAAGGGCCCTAAAGGGTTCTAATACAAGGATAACAACAATATTTTGTTGTTTTTCAAAAAAAAAAAAACAATATTTTAAAGGATAAATAGCCCTTAACCCCGCGTGATTACAAGCTTTTGGTGATGATTCCCCTTGTGCTTGAAATATCATCACATATCCCCTCGTGGTTTATGGGGTAGGTTCCGTTAATTTTTCCCTCAAACTTAACTGCCTGTGTCAAACTTCAAAGTATTTTTTTTCCAGATGACCAATATTATTGCAAGGTATTTTCAGGATTAAGTAATTCCGAGGGTAGTGGAGCTAATTTTGTATATATATTTATATCAATATTTTCAGAACCGGACCGGCTATAGAACCGGACGACTACTTGGGTCATGGGTTTATAGGGACGAACCGGTTCAACCGGGTTTTTGATTTGTTTTAATATGCCATTATTTTTTTAATTTTAATGTTATAAAATATTATTTTCTATATATTTTTAATCTCCCACTTATTATGTTAATTTTTATCTACTTCACCTCACTTTTTACGATATTTTATTGCTTATATCTATATTTTTCCATTTTGTATTCTTCAAATCCGGCAATCTGCCACCCCTATTGATCACACATGATCATATCCGACAATCCTTCGACCACTCATGACTAGATTCGGCCACCCACTACTAATTCTGTGAAGGTTCGCTCAAATCTAGCCAGAAATAACCAACTCAGCGGTGGTTCGAGACGTTTTGGCCGAAAATCGGGTTCCTTTACTGACTCGTCGGTTCTCGGGTTTTTACCCGGTCGAATCGGATTTCGGTCATTTGACCCCGATTTTCGATTTTTCCGGTTTTGGATGTTAGACACGACCGCTTCATTGCCGGGTCACAGTCGAACCGGTCCGACTGGCCGGTTCAGTCCGGTTCTAACAACATTGATCAACAACACATGTTACTCGATAAACACATCAAAATAGAATCAGACGAAAATTATTATCGGAGAAACCACAAGCAAAACTACACTAATCTGTTCAGAAATCTAGACTGTCTCGGACATTGCGGAGCCTAGCTAGTGTTTTTTCATATCATTTTCATCGATTTGTATATTCGCTGTGAAAACTTTGTCGATTAAATCGAAACAAAAGGTGAGATGTTTTTTGTACTATGTGTTGGAACTACGGCTGCAATTTGACGATTGGTCATAAAACTTGTGGATTGAGGCTTGTACTCCATTTGCTTCATCTTTACATAGTTGACGATTAGCTGCAATAAGATTCATAATAATCTGAAGATAGGCAAGGTGAGACGCGGACTAGGTCGCTCTTTTAAGACGAATTTCAAGATCCCTTCTCTAATGAGGTGCAAAAACATTCCGATTGTGTCGCCTATGGGATACAAAAGCCCATCATGTCTCTCTGATGTAACTACACCGAAATTGCACGTTCAAGTGAAGTAGAAACTTACACCCGACACACAACAAGAGCTCAACATATAATATAGATAATATACGATCCTTAGAAATTCATTTTTTATTCTCTTCTCTCATCTACTTTCAAAGCCACAATACCCCCTTCATATAGTAACCACAATAAAACCTCTATTTAATATGAAATTAAGGAAATTTGTGGTGTTTTATGTAAGAAAATAATGGTTTGGAGGTTTCAAAATGGTGGTCTAAATAACCTCATAAAAGTGGTCAAAGCCAATATTATATTTTATAATAAAATATATGATTTTTTTTTATTAAAATAACCCAACAATCCCACACTTATTTTAATAAAAATAAGAATATAAATATACTTGATCTCTTGCGGAATATTATGCATGAAAGTCGACAATGCCTTCAAATCTTCACTTGGTACAATATGTTTCCGGTACTATAATCAAAGTGGAGTTAGCCTTCAAACAGTGACCCTTGGGCACGTAGAATCATATTGCACACATAATACTCAAAGTGTCCCGATTGAAGCTTCTAAAGCTAGCACATTAACGGCCTTGTGCTTTACCCCATTTCTCGTGAGCGCTCTAGAGAATAAGCCTATAATTCCCATAGGAAGCGGCCCCACTTCCACACTCATAAGGTGAATTCTATCAAGGATGTTTACGTAACTCCAACACCCCACTCATTCGGGCTATAGAACTCATTAAGAGATCAAAGTCTCAACCTCACAATTCATTACGAGCTTTATTAGTGCACACGCATCATAGGGATGGATAATAAAAGTGTGCACTTTTATCACTATCAAGTTGCTTTCAGATCGTTGGTCTCCAACCTAGTTCTTGGGATCTCCAGTCCCTAGGCGGTGGTATCCTCATAAATAACTTATCGAATATTTTTAGACTTTTAATTCAATCCCCCTCAATGCAGTTCAGATTATTTATGAAATAATGTGAAATATAATTTCACAAATTCAATAGCGCTTATTCAAAATTTAATCTCATGGAATCAATGGTTTATTAACCATTTCTCATATAAGTTCACATATAATTTTACTTAAATTTTCACGTGGATTTTCACATAGATTCACAATACTGTATTTGTTAGAGTAGGTGACCAACAAGCCAACATGTGGCTGTGGTCTTTCGTATTTATTATTGTAATAAACGAACCTTTATTCGTATTAATGATAAAACATCTTGGCATTCTATATCTTTGTCCCTTTGTCACAAGCATAGATATAGTCCTTACAGTTATTACAAGTACTAGTAATTGATCGTTAGGATCGTGAGATATTTACTCAAGTATTATAACTGTTAAACGTGTTCCTAGTCGAAGGGTTACGCCACTAATGAGGATATCGGCCTTTCCCATTAAGACTAGCACTTAGTGTATGTGTACTGCATCTCATCAGTAAACGGTATTGTGATATCGGCATGCATAAGTGGGTGCTCGTAAGTTGACGAGTTCACTGAACTCCCTCACCCTAGAAATCTCTAACTGGTTCCCAATAATCGAGTAGAGATATCTATGGTATAGTTGTACACCATTAGTCCTTATGACCTAGACATCACCGTGACTTCACTAGAGGACCAGCTGTATCGTGACCTGTCCCTGAGTTCCACCGAGGACCATCCCAAGGGCCAGTGTTCGTGCAGTCCGAAATCTAGTGGGAGGTCTGTGCATTGTAGTCGGGGATTCGATCGCTAGAATAGTCTTGGATGTCCTGTGTGTTCTGAAAGTTTGTAATCATTCTAAGTCTCTGGCCAGAGCTGACTAAGTGATGATTAGAGAATTTGATTCTCTAAGTCATGCACGTAAGGATTACAACACTTAGAACGATCGCACCGTCATCGAACATATAAAGAGGTCTCGATGAACCAATGCCTCTAGTTCGATCGGGACATATGAATCGAAGGGACCGTACTGTACGTTAACTATATCTGAAGGTTCTTGCAGGCACTTCATTTGTATCTAGGGAATCATGACGCGTAGTTGCTAGACACCTATCTTGATTCGTTGGGTGATTAAGGTGAAACGAGCTTCATCTTAATCGTAACTCTAAGGGACGAGTTTTGACCACAAAGAGTTGTGGGCCCACGGCTAGCTTACACCTGAACCATCGAGGGTCACACTGCTCGTGCACATGAGATCTTTGAATAAACGGTCAGAGATAAAATAGTTTATCTTTGCTTGATTGGAAGTCAATATGATTGAGTCCAACATTCATAATTTGGAATTATGAATGAGAATAAGAAAAGGAAAAGAATAGGCGAACGTATTAGTGAACTTTCTAAATCGGGAAGTTTCCAAATTGAGAAAGTGCACTGAACTAGGGTTTCCACTTTTGGAAAGTTGGAAAATGAGAAATGGCACTCGTAATGACGAGGAAATTATAATGGTTCCGAAAATGTAATCGTTGCAATTTTTCGGTAATTGAATTAAGAGAGACGAGCAAGTAAAAGTACTAACGGACTTAAGCTGTTGGGCCCGGTCCAACTTAAGCCCGCTAGGGTTTTATGCAAGACATATAAATACTTGATTTATAGGTCTTGCACAAATACACAAGTGCAACCCAAACCCTAGCCGTCCACCCCTCTCTCTCGGCCTCTCTCTCCCACGGCCAACACCGCCGCCCACTCCGCCGTTTCGCCGGAATCGGCCGTTGATCGGCCGATTGGCTTGGTAGTCTCTTTCCTTCTCTTTTTCTTCCGTTTTTCTAACTATTACGTGTCTAGTGCCACGTGTTTAGTAGATCGAAGTATACGAGGTGAAATCCAAGAGGAGGAAGATCGAAGATCGAGGAATCGAAGAGCAGCGCACGAGCCGAAGCCGCACGCTGCCCCACGCGCCGCCCCGGAAGACCGCGCGTGTACCTCACGCGCCGCCGTGGCTGATTCGCCGCTGCTGCCACTGCACCGCTGCTGCCCCGATTGTACGGATTGGTTTCCGTAGCAATCTCGACTTGCTAAACGCTCCTACCTCACGCTTCAAGAGGTAAATATACGAAACCCTAGTTTCGATTCGTTTATGTTTAAACTATGAATTCATGTTTGCTATCGTATGATTTTATGTGATTATGTGTAATCGTTTTAATCTTTGCAAACATGATTATTGGTTTAAACGCGAGCATGTTAATTGATTTAAATTCGGTTAAATTATTTAGCATGTATGTTGTTTTTAATTTCGCTGGAAGCGCAAAGGTACGCAATTAATTGATTTAATTTGTCGGGCATGTACTTGTGTGTTTTAAAGTCGTTTAAATCACATAAAATTTTTGTTTTCCGCTGCGTATGTGTGCCCGAAACCCAACAGTGGTATCAGAGCTCGTTGCGTGATTAATTGCGTCGTATAATATGCTATGATTTTATGCATGTTCGATTTATTAAAGTAGTGATTGTTGTATTATGTAATTGGGAGTTTTCGTAAGTTTAAAATATTTTTGAAATATTGTTTAGAATTTTTCCAGCTTTA